GTGCCCCCCCCCCCCCGCCCCAGCAGTGTCCTGCTACTGCCTATCCCTTTCTTATAGTATTATGGTAATTGTTCAGGGTCCACTTATGAGTGAGAACATGTGGTACTCTGTTCGTGGTTTCTGTGATAGATCACTGAGTATTATAGACTCTAAATCCATCCAAGTTGCTGTAGAGACCTTTATTTTGTTCTTCTTTATGACTGTGTAGTATTTCATCATGTATATGTACCACATTTTTTATCCAGTCTTCTTTCAATGGGCAGCATCGTCGGTTCTTCCGTGTTTTTGCTATTGTGAATATTGCTTCAAAAACATGTGTGTGCAAGTGTCTTTTTCATAGAATGATTTGAGTTCCCCCAGGTATATTCCCAGGAGAGAGATTGCTGGGTCATATGCAAGGTCAATTTTTAGGTCTTTTAGATCTGCCACACTGTTTTTCACAGACGTTATACTAGTTTACACTCCCACCAATGGTGTAGAAGTATTCCCTTTTCCCCACATTCTCACTAGCATCTGTTGTTTTTTGAGCTATTGATGATGGCCATCCTGATTGGAGTTAGGTGGTATCTCAGCGTGTTTTTAATTTTCATTTCTTTGATGATTTCAGTGAGGCTGAACATTTTTTCATGTATTTGTTGGATGCTCATATGTCTTCTTTTGAGAAGTGTCTACTCATATCTTTGCCCACTTTTTAATAGGGCTCTTTGATTTTTTCTTTTCAGCACGTTTGAGTTCCTTGTAGATCCTAGATGTTAGTAGGCCTTTGTCAGATATACAGTTGGCAAATATTTTTTCTCAGTCTGTGGGCTGTCTCCCTGCTTTCTTGATGGTTCCTTTGGCTTTGCAGAAGCTTGTCAGTTTGACAAGGTCCCACTGGTCTATCTTATCTCTTATGGTGTGGGCATTTGAGGTTTTGATCAGGAATTGGTTGTCTATTCCAATTTTCATAAGGGTGTCTCCTGCGTTTTCTAAGGTTCTATAATAGAGGTTTTATATTTAGGTCTCTGATCCATTTAGAGTTGATGATAGGTAGGGATTCTGTTTCAATCTTCATGTGGTCACCAGTTTTCCCAGCACCATTTACTGAATGTAGGTGCTCCTCTTCCTAGTGGTTGTTGGTGGAGGCTTTGTCGAAGATGAGTTGGTTGAGAAGTTGAGAGGTTTTGCTTCCAGAATCTCTATACTGTTCCATTGGTTCAGATGCCTATTCTTATACCAATACCAGGCTGTTTTGATTACTGTAGCTTTATAGTAAAGTTTTACACTCCCACCAATGGTGTAGAAGTGTTACCTTTTCTCCACATCCTCACCAGCATCTGTTGTTAGTTTTATTAATGGTGGCCATTCTTACTGGGATTAGGTGGTATCTCATTGTGATTTTGATTTGCATTTCTCTGATGATTTAGTGAGGCTGAGCACTTTTTCATGTGTCTGTTGGCTGCCTATATATCATCTTTTGAGAAGTGTCTTTTCATGACTTTTGCCCACTTTTTAATGGAGCTGTTTAATTTTTTTTTCCTTTCGGCACGTTTGAGTTCCTTGTAGATCCTGTTCGTTAGGCCTTTGTCAGATATACAGTTGGCAAATATTTTTCCCCATTCTGTGGGCCATCTCCACACTCTCTTGATGGTTACTTTTGCTTTGCAGAAGATTTTCAGTTTGATGAGGTCCCACTTGTCTATCTTATCTCTTATGGCACGGGTATTTGGGGTTTTGATCAGGAACTGGTTACCTATTCTGATTTCTGTAAGGGTGTCTCCTGAGTTTTCTAAGATTCTTATAGTTCAAGGTTTTACATTTAGGTCTTTGATCCATTTAGAGTTGATTTTTGTGTATGGTGATAGGTAGGGGTCCTGTTTCAATCTTCTGCAAGTGGTCAGCCAGTTTTATTGCTAAACAGACAGCATCGGAAGCATTTCCCCCTGAAAATCAGAACAAGACAAGGCTGTCCACTCTCACCCCTCCTATTCAGCATAGTATTAGAAGTCCTAGCTAGACCAATCAGACAAGAGAAGGATATCAGGGGTATCAAAATAGGAAAAGAGGAAGTTAAGTTATCCTTCTTTGTTGATGATATGATCCTATACTTAGAAAATCCAAGAGAATCTGTCAAAAACCTCCTTGCCCTGGTAAAGGACTTTGGCAAAATCTCAGGGTACAAAATAAATGTGCAAAAAATAGTAACACTCATATACCAACAACAAACAAGCAGAGAACCAAATAAAAAGCACAATCCCAGTTACCATAGCCACACACACACACAAAGAAATACCTCGGCATCTTCCTAACCAGAGACGTGAAAGACCTTTGCAACAAAAACTACAAAACACTGCTCAGAGAAATCAAAGACACAAACAAATAGAAAAATGTTCCGTGCTCATGGATTGGAAGAATCAACATTGTTAAGATGTCCATCCTACCAAAGGCAATCTATGGATTTAATGCAATACCCATGAAATTACCAGCAGCATTCTTCTGAGACCTGGAAATGACAATACAGAAATTCATATGGAAAAATAAATGACCATGAATAGCCAAAACAAAGAAACAAAGTGGAGATATCACACTTCCAGACTTTAAACCTTATTATAAGACTACAGTAATCAAAATGGCCTGGTATTGGTTCAAGAACAGGCATATAGACCAATGGAACAAAAGCAAAACCTCAATCTCTCAACCAATTCATCTTTGATATATTTATTTTTAAAATAATATTGACTAGGCTAATTAAATGAGTTTGCATTCCACAAGTATAATTAAACAACTGGAAGAAATTTTATGCCTACAAACCAGAAGAAATCCAATTGGGATTAGGAAATAGTTGCCTGAATCTGTTCACAGCATGAATAGTCAACATTATAGACAAATAAATATTGACTTTTTTTGTGCAAAGTCCTGTTAAAAACATATGATTTGTTTTGTTTCTTATTTTAGGAAATGACTATACCCTGGTGCTTAAGGAGAGCAGAGCTTGTGTTTAAGTGTGTCAAAGGTGAGCATAATCATATCTCTGACACCTGACACCTATATTTTCTCTCAAATATTGAAGATAGAGTAACCCAGAAGAAAGAATGTGAAATTTACTCCTGTCATCTGGTTTCTCAGTTAAATAGTTTAACATGCAAGTGTTTCATAACTGACTTTTTTGTTATCTTTTCTAGTCACCAAATAAGACTACAGCCATTTTGAAATACAAGGATATTCAGATGTTACTTATATTTTATTCTGCTAGCTTGCTATTTATTTATTTATCCTTCATTCTCTGAAAAAGTGAAAATAGAATCGTATGTTTAATAACTTTTAATAACCTTTTCATTGTTTCATTGTGTGGAGACTAAATTTGACTTGAAGTATCATAAGTAAGAGTATGCTGACAAAATTAATCCTCTCTGGCATGGGGAACCAGGGATCGCAGAAGTTTGTCTTATGTTAAGCGTAGCTGATCCTGCAGGCAGATGGCTGTCTAAAAAGTTAGGAAACCCGCAGTGAAAATTCAGTTTATTTCAATAAGTGACTGGTGAGTTTGAAGACTGGAACTCATAATGCAGCAAAATCTATTGTTCTGTTTTAGGTTTCATGATGGAAATGGCTTCATGGGATGGAGGAATTTCTAGGACAGTACAATTTTTGGTGCCACAGGTGTGTTATCTGAAGGGATCTCACCCCAAGGTCATCTTTTTTATTATATTTCTTACAGATATAGCTAGGCTCTCTGCCCTAAACTCCTAAATACGGCATAAAATGCCGACAGCTTTCTGTGTTTTAAAAGGAGAAGTATGTGGGTGCCATTAAGCACTTACTCTCCCATCAAAGATATCAGCGTCTGCCACTTAAGGGATCCACAACCAAACTTGACTCATCTTTCCTTTTTTTTCCCACCACATTTATGTTACAGATATCATGAAGGGTTCATAAATGAGGGCCTTAGCAGAGAATGAGTCTGTATTGTGTGAAAAACTTAGCAAAATTACTGGTATTGTTTTACTGATTACACTACGTTATGCAGGGGTTTTTCTAGTAATCAGACTTATTATTTGACAGAAACAGTGTAGGTTCTCAGAGGAGGGAGGAAGAAAAACAGCCTTTGTCCATAGCCATGCAGTTCAATCAGCCATGAAACATAATTTTGACCTATTGCATTCCATATCTAGAACTTGTACCATTTAAAAAAATCAGTGAAGATTTAACAAGTGAACAAGTGTAAACTTTTTTTTTTACCTTTTGCAGAGTATTTCTGAAGAAATGTTTTATCAACTTAGTAACATGCTCCCCCAGATCTTCCGAGTATCATCAACACTCACTCTGACGTCCAAGCACTAAACCCTTATAGACATGCTGGCAGAAGACGATTGTTAAACTCGCCAGGAACTTGAGCTATGCTGGATTCTGTCAAGCAGAAGATGCCCAGAAAGAGAACCTGCAGCCCCAGCCACACTTCAAATCATGACATATGTCAGTTAAACCATTCCAAAACTTTATATGCTGCAGAGACTGCTAACTGGCCCCTACCTTAAACATTTGTTCTTGAAGTCTCTTTATGAAGCTCTTTTTTCCTACTATGTCCTACCTGTGAATGTTAATACATTAAAACTTTTTCTGTATCATCCATGAACACTTGCTACAGGAAACTGTTCACTGCATTTTCATGGAAACATTCAATTTTTCCAAAAGGCTTGAATCATGTAAGGGACAAGCCTTAAGCATATAAATAAAATCTTCCTTTGACTTTATTTGCCAAATCATAAAAAGCATTGAAGTGTGTGTCGCAAGTATGACGTTCTTGTGAAAATGGTTTTGTAGAAGCATAAATATATGAGACAAATGTACTTTCTTTCAAATTTGCCTCTTTCCAGACCGTATTTTTAAACTACTCTTTCTAAGGCTGTGCAAGTTAGAGTCAGAAAATGCTTTGGATTCCTTAGTTCCATCTCATCTTCCCTCTGTGACCTTGCCCTTGTCTATTAATAGCATTTCGTGGCTGAGAAAATAGTGTTCTTTGTTGCCAGCCTGATGTAAAGTTAGCCTAAACCAGCACCTGGCAGTATTTTAGTTCTCATCATCATTGTGAGAATCAGACAGTGAGACTCATCTCTACTTCCCTTCCTTCTCCCCACATTCTCAGCCTCCTTCACCATCCCTCTACTCTGTGTGTTCCTTGGCTGATAAGTCTGTCCCCATTCTGTCTCTGTTCTGTTTTCTCTCCTTTTTTTGTCATCTGGTACTGTACTACCTTCTCAAGTGCTGCATGTCACTTATTTATCCCACCTATAACATATTTGCTATGAATGGTGAGTCCGTTACACAAAGGCATTTACAAAAGCACACAGGTATTTAAAAAATCAATAGTTTCGTCAAATCCAAGTTGTATGAATGTTGTAACTGGCCAATTAAATGAAATGGAGAGCCTCGGGCGTCATAAAACGGCGTATCTTGATTATAAGAAACAGAAGTCACTCCATTAGTATACTTAAGTGTAATAACTGTTCTAGAAACCCTACTATTGGCATGCAAAATGCTTTTCCATGACAAAATGTGTCTTGATTTTCTACTTAAGGGAAAGGCATGTCCAGGTAACAACATGAAGGAGAGCACCCACTGCCGCAGCATGCCCATTAGGCACTAAAAACTTTCTAAATTCTTTGTCAGGGAGCTGGGTGATTCCACCAAGAAGGCGAGGGTTTTGCCCTTAGAGCCTATACCTTGGTGGAACTGTCTCTTAGGCACCACTGTTATCACTGAGACTGATTCTAATCAGAGCAAGGTGGACAGAGGCAGAAACCAGGGCATGACAGATTTGAAAGAAAGTACAGATCGTATGTTTTCATTCATAAACTGACAGGTCGAGTTGGAGGTGGCTGTTGTGGGTCAATAAAAGGAATTAAAAAACAAGCATTGAGAATCTTCACAGAATTCTGTAACGAATCCGAGAGAACAGCCAACAGCTTGCAGGGGGCAGCCAGGTATCGTGGTGGAAGAGCAAAGCTTCAACACGGAAGTCTAGTGAATGCTACTGTCCAATCCTTCCTTTGTCATCTCAAGGCTGTTTTATTAAGTTACTTTTATACACTGGTGGCTGTCACCTTTTATTAACTGGTGGGCCATGTGAAGGTACTATTTGGCCTATGAAATCAAGATAATATTAAGTGTTCATTTTTCACTTGGTACAGTATTATACAGAAGCAGCAAGATTGGGGGGGAGATGTTATATTACCACTGATTAAAACACACCAGACACCAAACTGATAACAAATATCTCATTTAAAATACTAATTGGATGCATTTAAATGGCGAGAGTGTTAGTGCCATAATAGAGGAAGTCTGGAGTTTTGTATTTGGACTGAGAAGGATGAGATGACAATCTTCGTCTGAGTGTCCTAGAGGGCTTCTCGGAGGGCAGCAGTTTCAAGCACTTCATGGATGATTTGCAGAAAGTCCCTTAACAGGCCGAGAAAGGGCATTTTAGCATTCTCCATCTGCGGGTTCCACATCTGCAGATTTATCCACCTGTGATCAAAAAATATTAGACAGAAACAAAAAAGAATAATGAAAAATCCAAAACAATACATTATAACAATTATTTCCATAGCATTTATATTGTATTAGGTATCTGTACTCGAGAGATGATTTACAGTATATGAGAGGACAGGTGTAGGTTGCAAATACTACACCATTTTATTTAAGGGTCTCGAACATCCAGGGATTTGATGTCTATGGGAGTCCCCTGCAAATACCAAGGGACGCTGTGTAAGGTGCAGATAGAAGCAGAAATAGATCGGAGGCAGTGATAAATGACCAGTAAGTGGAGAGAAGCGGACCACAAGAGTCTGTTGGGGGAGGGAGGAATTATCTCAGGGAGTTATAAGTTTTCTGTTTGCATCAACAATGAAATATTCCTAAATGGTCCTTAAAAGTGTGTTTTGGAAGTCAGGCGGCAGCACTGAGCCTGAGCTCCCCATTTTGTGCTGCCCTTTCCTTCCCCTGTGTCTGCTCTCAAATCACCACACCAAGCAAGGCTGGAATGTAACCTTTGATCTGGAAGCATGGCACTAGCCGTTCCTCAGCATGACAGCATGACCAGAATGGAAGAAATGCACAAACAAGAATTTCAACAAGAGGAGACTTAGCTTGCCCGGGAGCTGGCAGATCTCTCACGGACACTGTACCCCACCATCATCGGTACCACTTCACTTGGACCCTGGCTAATTCTCACAAGAGGAAAAAATGTTGTGCAAAGGAAAGATGAATTTACAAAACCATTCCTACTCTAGAAACTCTGAGGGAGAATTCGCAGAACTGTGTAGAAAGAACTGATCAAACAGAGAGTGGAGCCTCAGGACTATGTTTTAGTTTCCAGGTGAAGATGGTTACTTTTCTGTGACTCAGTTTTTTCATTTAGATGAAGTTGGACTGCTTTGCTCAGAAGGACTAACAACGGTATGATCATAATAAGTATGAAACAAAAAATATTTTATAAGACCTATTTGGAAAAATACTGTGTTTTCAGAACTTTTAAATCTGTGGTTTTTACCTTTTAAACATCTAAGAATCTTTCGTTCTCTTGCCGATATTTCTCTGAGATGTTTCTCTTAAACAATTGAAACGATTTAAGCCGTCTGTTTTTTGTTAAATCAAAGACATGTATGTGTGGAAATAAGTTTTTTTGTTCTGTTTTTTTTTTGAGTTGGAGTCTCACTCTGTCACCCAGACTGGAGTGCAGTGGCTGCTCCCGGCCACCGCAGCCTCGACCTGCTGGGCTCCGGCGATCCTTTCTCCTCAGCCTTCCAAGTAGCTGGAACTACAGGCGTGCGCTACCACGCCCGGCTAATTTTTGATTTATTGTAGAGATGAGGTCTCACCAAGTTGCCCAGGTGGGTCTCGAACCTGCGGGCTCAGGCAATCCACTCACCTCAGCCTCCCAAAGCACGGGATTACAGGCTGAGCCACCGAGTCCGGCGGAAATAAGTTTTTGATTAGCAAGTGATCTATAATATTATCACATAGAATTGTCATTGTATGGTTCTCACACATGGTATTATTGCATAAGTACATAGAATTATCGTTGTGTAATTCCAGGCAAATTTATAAAAACAAAACCTTGGCATTTGATTTAGCCTGTAGGTCTCATCTAAGTGAAATTTACTTTTTGTAAGATTCTTTAAATAGCTCAAAGACATCTTAAAAGAACGCTAATTCCAGGAATTCCCAAGCTGGGAACCACAACTTTTGACAGAAATATTTACATAAGTGTATATTACAAAGGGAGGGCAGAGATCAGGACAGTATAAGAAGCAGGATGACCCTGAGAATCCCATTCAATAAACAGCAAGTGTATACTGAGTTTCTATATGCAAAGGTACAGTGCAAGCAAGACTCAGTTATACAAAGGGGATGGGCCTTAAAAGTCAGAAAGACTTTATAAAGACTTAGCAAGCCTTTCTGTCACCTGTGATCCTGACAGTCTCTAATGACTAAGACAAAATCCCGAATAAAGCAGGGGACTGGAGGAGAGGCCTCCTGAGGTTCCCTGCAGGACCAATATGTGCTTTTGATGTTCTATTCAAATATACACAGCTAAAATCATTATGATACACTTTGTATCTCGCTGTTCTTTTCCTGTTTTCCCACGGGGAAAATTGTTTCTGACACATGTAAATCTAAGACTTATCAGGCTTTCTCGTGACTTAGCTGAAGCCCTTTATACTATTATATAGTCCATCTCATTAACTGAAGATTTTGTATCCATGAATTCACCTATTTACTAAAATTTATTTGTAACATCAAACCATCAACAAAAGCATGCAGTCATTTACAGAAACTAGTTGCATCACCCCAAACCACATCGATGCTGTAACTGACCCAGGGAGTGAAATGCCCTCGGCAGCCCTTGGGGGCCATTTGCAGACAGGTGTGGAACAGCAGAAAAACTGAGTTGCCTAACACACACATCCCCAGCTCCGATGGAGCAAAGCGACTCCCCTCCCTTCTTGCCGCAGTGTTTATAATGTAAATGAACGTCTTTTCTGTGGCCTCTTAAGTGTCATGTTTTTTGCATGTTTGTGCTTCTTTTTGGTGATTTTGCTGTTCACAGTGGTCCCAGTGTAGTGCTGAAGTGCTCTTCAGTGTTCCGAAGTGCAAGAAGGTTGTGATGTGTCTTGTGAAGAAAGTACACGGATGACAAAAGCTTTGTCCAGGTATGCAGCATAGTGCTGTTGGTCAAGAGGTCAATGTTAATGAACCAAAGGCACACATTAAGTAAGCTGTCTTTAAACAGAAGCACACATAAAATAAGTTAATGTATTGATCAGCTGATGAGAATATCACGGCCAGAAGCTTGCAAGAATCTAACCCTGTATTTCCCCGGGGTGCAGTGAGTTAGTATTCGCTAATTCAGTGATCACAGCCACTTTACAGAATGTAACTACTGTGAATAATAAGAGTTGATGATATGTGTCTTCTCTCACATGCAAGGGGGTATAAGTCCTATCTTTGGGTATCTTTGGCTCTTAGGGATCGAAACCTGAAACACATTATCAAAGAAGCAAACAGTCTTTCTGGAGATGTTTCGGAATTAACATCTGTCTGTCCTAGGTGAGGTGAGACATTTGTAGGAAGCAAACCTGTTGAAGGCCTTTCCCTCTTTCTCTCTCCCCTGCTGTCCAGCTTTCTTTCCTTTTTAGTAATGAATCCTGGTTTTCTGTTATCAGCTCATCTGTGTTCAACAATCTCTACTCTGAGCAACAGTATAGCATCAGAGATCAGGAGCATACAAACGCTGGCTCTCCAATTTATTTGCTGTGGCTTGTTACATTGGGCATATTACCTAACCCTCCTAAGCATG